GGTTAGGAATGGGATGGAAAAGGGAGGGGGCAACAAACTGCACAGGGGGACAGTGGGGAAGCCATGGCTTTGCCTCCCTGGAGCCGAGGACTGGGGGAACCGCGGCAGCTCTGCCCCTCCCGGCACCAGTAGGGAGGTTTTGGCCAAGCCCTGGTGTAATGGGAGCCCTGGGAGCAGCCGGCAGTCACTCACCACTGCTGCTTTCAGGAGGTCTGTGGAGAAACCTGCAAGGAAGTGGGAGAGGGTTATAAAACAGCCCTGACCGTAAGTCCAGGAGGCTGGGGGCTGTTCTGCAGCAGCTCCAGGTTTAAAGTCTGGGAAGGGTATTTTCTTTGTCAATTTAATAATGTTTAGTAAATGCTGGCAAACGCTGTATGGAGAGCAGCCCCTGTACTGCCCTGCAGCTTGCGCCAGCCTGGGTAACCTGGGGTACCTGGGGATGGGTTCCGAAGATAAAAAAGTGATAAATCTGCCCCTGGAAATCTGTGCAGGTTTCTAACGCGGTGCCAGCTGCAGCCGGGAAAAACTCCCACTGCCTGTGGATGCTGAGGGGAGCATGAGGCAGAGTGCAGGGAATGCCAGAGCCAGGCGGGTTGGGAATGAAAAGCAGCATGGGCTGGAGCATCCCCAGTGCCGAGGGGTGGAAGGGGGGGTCCTGGGGCAGGGTCAGCTTTAGGGGGACAAGATGTAACTCACGGAGGCAGAGAGCGGTGGCTGCCCGTGCCATCCTGCCGATGCTGGGGCTTCGTCCTTGGCACGGCTCAGGCGAGCAGAGTGCAAATGAAGAGCCGTGCCCCACGGTCTGGGATGGGGGAAGGTGCTGGGGGGATCCTGCAGCTGATCCGATCCTCCGATGCGGGGGCTGGAGCTGTAGGAGCACGGCAGCTCAGCGCACCCAGCCTGTGCTCTGCGAGTGCCTGCACAAACCCCCCCAACCAAGGGAGAGATTTTAAATCCTACCTAACAGAAAACAGAATTTCTGCTCAATTCTCCACCCATTATTAAAAGAAACTCCACAATAAATCATCCTCTCTGACACCCAGATCCCCACTCCCACCCGTGCCCTGCAGGGAGAGGGTTCCCCTCCGTCCCCCAGCTCCACACGGGACCGCACCAGCACGGACTGGGAGAAATCCAGTGTAGCCCAGTGGAGGAGCACCAGCAGGCATGCTCTCCCTGTACCCAACTCCTCAGCTAAAAACCCCCGATAGAAAATAAATCTCCGCTCCAGAAATGCCATCGATGGGATGCTCAGCGCTGCCCAGAGCAATTAGCTCATTGCGTATTGCCCTTCGAGGTAGATGAGAGTAGGTTTCTGGCTAAGATTCATTATTTTCCCTAAATCCCACCAGTGGCCTTGCCGAGTCGCTCTCCGTCCAGGGGGGTTTGGCTGGGCGATGAGGATTCGGTGCCACTCGGCCAGGGAAGGTGCTCACCCACCTGCGGTGGCTGGGGCGGGCTCAGCACTTATCTGCTGCTGTGGGGTGGGGATGAAAACGGGGTGTGCCGGGGCAGTTTCTCAACAGTGTTTTGTAATGCTGTTCCCTCTCCCGGTTCTGTTTTTTGGTTTGGGTTTTTGTTTTTGTTTTTTTTTTTTCTTTTGTAAAGGGTCACTTTGAACTCTGGGGTGAGTGAGTTACACCCTCTGTTTCAGTAATTTCTGTGTTCCTGATGGGGACAAAGGTCCTCCCGGTTGGTGAAACACCTTTGAGCTATTCAGGGATATATTATAGAGGGCAACTGGGGTGCAGAACAGACGAGTCTGCGGCGATGGGCTCAGCACCCCTCTGGGAGATGCCTTGGCTGTGGACAATCCCAGTCCCCTTTTTACAAGCTTTCTCCTTGGAATTTCTGATCCCTCTCTGTAATGCCACCTAGCACGTGCCGTGAAGGAGACCAAAAAGAAAGGGAGCAAAGCCTTCCTGAGGCTGTGCGATGAAACCCCGGAGGAGCCCCACGCTGCACGGCAGCAAATGCTTTATCTGTGCATTTATCCTGGGAAAAGGGATGGGTGAGAGCAGCCGGCAGCGGTCGGCTGGGCTGGCTGCCTGCCTGCACCACCCACTCGTCTGGGTTTGGGGGCATCAGCTTTTGAAAGGGTCCCTGGACGTGCTGGCCCAGCGCTGAGCGGGGTTGCCATCCCCTGGTGCTCCTGGCCGGTGTCCCTATCCCCATACCCTACGCAGCAACCGGTCCTGCAGCAGCAGGGCTTGGTCGATGCTGGTGGGTGTTTCTGGTTTCTATTTTGGAAGGATAAAATACCTCTTGCTGCACTGGTAAAATTACAGAAACTTGTTTGCTATGAGGCTGCTGGTGGGACACGGCCCCTGCCGCAGGCTTGCTGGCCAGAGGTGGCTGGGGCAGGAGGGCAGGGGCACATCGGGGCCTCTTCGCGGGTCACTGCGGCTGCCATGCGCCGGGGGTGCTTAAAAACAGCCCTGAAACAATCCCAGGGGCTATAGAGGAAGAAACACAGGAGGACCCACCCCAAAGCCAAATGTGCTGGGAAGCAGCTGCCCCAGCCCTTCCCCGGGGGCCTTGGCGGGTCGGTGGTGGCTCCAACCACATCTCCCTGTGCCAGGTGGGCTGGAAACACTCCTGGTTAAATTGCCAGGTTTATAATCTTAGAAATCTCACAACCTGAAGGCTGCAAATAATTTATTTGGGTCTTGACTCACTTTTCCAGCTGCTCCAACCCAGGGAACGTTGATGTACAAGAATTCTATAGAAATCCTGCATGGTGGCAGCCTTCCCTGTGCACCCCCTAAACTCTGTCTGCCCCAGGGCTGCTTCCCCATTTCCCTGCCAGGGAGAGCTGTGGTGTTCCAAAACTAGGAATTTTTCTTCCGTCTCTGCTCTTTGGTTCAGGACAATCCCAGCCGCTGGTGTTGGCCGGGGTGGGTGGCAGGCAGGGGCAGGGCCGGGGCAGGGGCATCTGCCCTGGCTGCCTCGGGCATTCTCAGTCATGTGTGTCAGAGTTACTAAATCCGGGAGGGCGTTTGGGTAGATAATCCCAGTGCTTTTGGCCAGGAAGATTCTGGCAGGGTGAGGATGCCCACAACAGGTTGGCGGGGTTGGAGCCCTGGGGCTGGTCCTGCTGTGCTGGTCCGGGCTCATTCCTGGAAGCCCCCGGCACTGAGCCAGCCTGTGCAGTGTGGCACGGATTGAGAGACCAGAGGGTGAACTGCAGGGCAAATAGGCGATGGTTTACTATGGTAATGCACAACAGGAGATAAGGGTTATTGCAAGCCGTACAGAACGTCATGGAACACACACCTGATCACAACCCCCCAGTCCGAATGCACGAGTGGGTTCACACACAATGCAGCAAATGGCCCCGCGGCAGCAACGTCAGAGAGGAAGGAGCAGGACCCAACGCGGCACGGGAGGCAAGCCAGGGATGGGCACCGGGAAAACACTTCTCTGCAGGGTAAGGAAAATATATATTTATCTCTGGTTCCTGCAATGTTGGGTAAAAGTGCAACGCATGAAGGCTGAGGGGTGGCGTGGGGTGCAGGGGCTCCCCCAGGCAGATGGTGGGGTGAGCACTGGGTGCCAGCCCTGCAGCGTTGATGGTCCATCACCGTCCCTTTGTGCGGGGTGCCGGTGTGTCCCCATGTACACCCCAGCAACCACTGACCCCATGGCCAAGGACAGCCACATCCCAGGTGTGTGGCTGCAGGACGTGTCCCCCGCTGCGCAGCGGGGAGCATTCCCGCTCTGGGGCCCACGGGAAGGGAAGGCTGCGTCCTGCCTCTGCCGCTGCAGATCTCACCCGTAGCTTCTCAGGACCTCCTGCGCACGTCACCACGGTCATTCTTTGGCAAACAGGTTCACGGTGTTGATTTACAGCTTTGGGACCTGCCTGTGGCTGCCTCTCCCCTCCCTGGCCACTCCTGGGAGATGGGATGGGCAGAGACAGGACTTGGGAGGAAGGAGAGGGATCTTCTGCTCCTCTGAACCCTGCTGAGCCCTCTGCCACCAGCTCATGAGCCTGCGGACCCCGTTTGGTGCCCAGGGCTGGCGCCTGCAGAGCCATGAGCTGTGCACCAGTCCCCATCCTGCAGCAAATGGCAGCACTTCATGCCAAGCCACAAAAGCACGGTGACAGCCACCTCCTCCCTGGCCCCATGCTGCAGCACGGTGAGCCTGGGGACACCAGGGATGGGCGATGCAAAACCCTGCGGGGTTTCGGTGACCCACATGGTGCATTCAGCCCTGAGAAGAGAGCTGTGCTGTTTTGTTTCCCCGCAGGGTAGGAACACGAGTTATGTCAAACCGCCGCCAGGTGCGTTTCGAAGGGGACGGGGTTTGCGGTGTGACAATAACGCTGGGCATGCGCTGATGCGGCAGCTCGGCACCGAATATCCCAGGGATCGGGGCTCTGTACGCAAGGGGCACCAGCCACCCACGCCCCTCCCCAGCCGCCTCGCTCTCTTTGTGTCCAAAACCTCCTCCACGGGCTGCAGAGGACAAGCGGGGTGGGAAGGGGAGAGTGAAGCAGCATGACACCAGCTGGCAAAGCAGGGGCATTTTCAGAGAAACTCCTCTCTGCATCTTGCAAAGCTGAGCGCCAGCGTTGGAGATGAGCTCCTTCCCACTCTTCCCATCAGTCCTCAGCTTTTCTTTCAGCTTCGACCATTTCCTCGGCCGCTCTCGCTGCTCCAGAGCCTCCCAAACTGCCTGCGGCACCCGCTGGTGCTGACACCCCCACAGCAACCTGCCAGCCAGGAGCCACACGATGGGACAAAACCTGATTCCCCCTCGTTTGGGTAAAGCAGAAAGGGGCTTGTGCCTTCTGACCTGTCTCGGCAGGGGTTACACCCACACCCAGGGTAAAAGCGGGTGCTAGGAAAAGGCAATGCTAGGAGAAAGAATAACAAGATCTATTAAAAAAGCTTTGGGCTGCTGGCTATTCTGACCACAGAAGTACTAAAAATACACGCATTTCCGAGACCATCGGTATTTCAGAACCGCTAAAAGACTAGGTGCTTCTCATAGAAATTTGATAAAAGTTTAAAATCCATTTGAATCAACTCACTCACCTTCAACAAACCTTTAAAAAAAACCCCAGAGGCGTGCTGAGGCAGGAAGGGAAGCGCGAGGGCAGGGACAGGCAGGCAGCACATCCTTGGTGGCAGGCAGGGACCTGTCCTGCACCCATCGCACAGCCCAGCTCCGCGGGCGAGACACCTGGGGCCACCCCAGGACTTGGGGAGCCGTCAGTGCCCCCAAGCTGCAATTCAGCCCCCTGATCTCCCACCTCCTGCACAACGTGTGTGCCAGTGATTGCAGCAGGCTGGAGCGAAGGGAAACTGGGGACGCGGACGCTGAAGCAGCACCCGGCACATTCTCCTCTCCCTTTGCTGGGCTGCGTTTTAGCATCCTAGCACCGAGGGTTTGCAGACACCTCCATCATGCTCATGGCAAAGGCAGCATCTGTGCTGCCCCAGCTGTGCCCGAGCCCCGGGACAGGGACGTAAAGCTTTGGGGTCACTCTAAGCTGGTATGTGACACACTGACTCTGCTGCTGAGGCCCAGAATTAGGAAAGGGGCATCCGGTGGCCAGATGGATGATGTGTACATTAAAAAAGAAACCCATCCTAATCACTGCTAAAATCTGCCTAATCCCAGCCCCAGAGGTGAGGGAAGCCACGGCATACAGGAAGTGTGGTTGTGGAGTCAGCGCTGGGCTCTGTGGAGACCTGCTGGGACGAAGATGGAGCATTGGGCTGGAAATGCAGAGGTGCGGTTTGTGCTCACTCCAAAGCCCACTCAGCCAACCACTGCTCACACCGGGCTCGCTGCTCCTCTGTCTCCAGGCTCTTGGCTTCGCTCAGTGCCTCCTCTCCTCCACCACCACGCATGGCTTCCTGGCTCTCCTCCTCTTTCCCCTTCTGCATCATCTTCTCCTTCAGCTCTTGCATGGTCTTATCCAGCTGGTGAGTGACGTTGTGGGGCACCCAGTTGCTGTCCATTGCGGTGACGAAGGGGTCAGGTGCACAAACCTCGATGAGCTCCTTACCGGTGGGGATGCGCAGGTAGTAGGCGTGGAGCATCATCCTATAGGGACTGCTGTCCTTCTTGTGGCTGTAGGTGAAGTCCCCCACGATGGGGTGGCCAATGGCACTGCAGTGAACCCGGAGCTGATGAGTCCGTTTTTTTAGCGGAGGGCTCAGGGACACAGGTTATCCCTGAATCCCTCCTAGAGGGCACAGCGGTGCGAGGTGATGATGCACCAAGCGGCATTTGTCCCCGCCCCCAGCCTGAGAACCCGAGTCCTCTGCGAGCTGAGTGTGACTCTCAGCTCCACTCAGCCCTTCCTAGGCTTTGTTTTTCACTATGCAACCATGCTGCAACCAGGGCTGGAAGCGCAGGTCCCACTGCAGTAGCTCTGCTGCCTCTGGCTGTCCGGCCTCAGCAGCCCCCTGTGCCCGTGCTGCCCCGGCGCTGAGCTCCCACCTGTCAGTGGCT